AAATAAAATGTGACAAAGACAACTATATTACTCATGAAATATTTATTAACGAAATATTTCAGAAATGAATTTGAAACTTTATCAAATTAGGCTTCATCAAAGCAGCAACACACTCATTTAAACCGACTTACAAATTAGTGAGATACATGTGCCTGTCGGGGCACGCAGATTTTTTTAATCCTCGGTGGCACTGAGGAGAGGGCCACTCGCAAGTCCTGTTCAACAGAGAGCCGTGACCTCCGGTTGTTCTTCATGTAAATCAGAGTAGACAACGCCAACTCCAGAGATGGGGTCGTTACTAAAAAAATGTAATATATTACATATTACTTTAAAAAAAAGTAATATATTACACTACTTCGTTACTATCTACATAAAGTAACTCGTTACTTTACTCGTTACTTTACTCGCCGAGCATTTACGAACTGCGCGTGAGTGGCAATAACTTTCCTTACCAGCAGGCGGCGGTAGTGTGTATTTGTCATTCAAAACAGGCAACAACCGGAAGACAGAGAAGAAGAACAGACTGCGTGATATAAACAAAGGTGTGGCATATCAAGATGCTGATTAGACAGCATGATTATTGCACAGGTGTGCCTTAGGCTGGCCACAATAAAAGGCCACTCTGAAACGTGCAGTTTTGCTTTATTGGGGGGGTCCGAAAACCAGTCAGTATCTGGTGTGAGGGTTAGGGTTAGGGTAATGTTGTGAATCGAGTGGCCTGTGTTCGTCGTCCATAACATACGCCTGCCCATACCATAACCCCACCACCACCATGGGCCACTCGTCGCCCATGCTTTCATCGGCCCATGGTTGGTGCGCTTCGGGACCCTTTCTGGCCTCTTCCCTCGCCTCTGTAGCGGCTTCGGACGTCGCCCACGCTTTCATCGGCGCCTGGATGGCGCACTACTGGACCCTGCCTGGCCTCTCCTCTAACCGCGGCTCACGGTTCGCCTCGACGGCGGCTTCGGACGTCGCCCACGCTTTCATCGCCGCCTGAGTGGCGCACTTCTGAACCCCGTCTCGCCTCTCCCCTGTCCACGGATCCTTCCTCCCGAGGACTTTGTGCCCGCCGCCGCTGCGTGCTCGCCTGCGGCCGGGCTGCGCTTCTTCCTGCTGGGGACCACCGGGATATTCACGCCCGTCCCCACGTCGCAGCACAGCGACCCAGCTTTCTACGGCTGGCGGATGTTGTCTTCATCCGCCACGGCGCCTACCACGGCCCTCTGCGGCCCCCTTTCGACGGCCCGTTCCATGGCCCGCCCCCAACCCCCCGGTGGGGATGCCCTCGCCTGCGCTTTCATCGCCGCCTGAGTGGCGCACTTCTGAACCCCGTCTCGCCTCTCCCCTGTCCACGGATCCTTCCTCCCGAGGACTTTGTGCCCGCCGCCGCTGCGTGCTCGCCTGCGGCCGGGCTGCGCTTCTTCCTGCTGGGGACCACCGGGATATTCACGCCCGTCCCCACGTCGCAGCACAGCGACCCAGCTTTCTACGGCTGGCGGATGTTGTCTTCATCCGCCACGGCGCCTACCACGGCCCTCTGCGGCCCCCTTTCGACGGCCCGTTCCATGGCCCGCCCCCAACCCCCCGGTGGGGATGCCCTCGCCTGCGGCCCCACCCTGTGGTGCTTCCTCCCAGACGTGAGGATTGTGTCCATGGTTGAATTCTGGGGGGGCTTGTGTAGTGATCACTAATTAACTATACATAATTCACTCATGGAACTACGGGTTGGGGGTATTGTTTCCACACGGACACATATGATGTTGACTACTTACTAACCCTTTCTTCTTTCTCTTTGCTTCCCGGTCTTCAAGCCGACCACATGTGCTTTTCTCAGCCTGTCCTCCTACAAAAAACGACCATATAGGTTGATTGTTCAGCAGCTAAATACGACCCAGAGTCACGTTTTAAAGTGTAGCACCTCTAGTGGTCGTGTAAGAAACAACATGCTCCTGTCGATTGCAAACGCTCCGGAGGGTCGTTTATTCACAAGGGTTAGGGTTAGGGTTAGGGTGATATCTCCATTACTCATCCACTAAAAAACATCAGTTTATCCTTGTTAATTCACAATATTGATTGGTTTAAATTGTGTACAATGCTTTTGTGTTTTTAACCTTCGATTCGGAGAAACAAATTGTTTATTCAGAGTTTAGACACTACAGAGTTTCTGAAGACACTACACTACCCAGAATCCCCAGCTATCGTTTGGGACTACAACATCCGCCTTGCTTTACAAACCCCGTGATTAGCCCTCAAGCTCTGTGATTGGATGTTGGAGTGGCAGTGCGACAAGGTTACGCTGAGTGTCAAACAGCTCTTTGAAATGTAATGGAACCACGCCAGACTATCCAAAACTGGACTTGGACGGGTCCAGCCCAGCCCTCCCCCCCCCAGAATTACACATGCTGGATATTGTGTGTTTTGCAACATGTTCTATGGCACGTCTCTATTGGGAATTGTAGTTTTAAAAGACGTTTTCATATTTCCCACAATTAGAAGTTGCCAGTATTAAACTGTATACATCCCTGGAGGTTTAGGGGATACGAAACACATTGGTGTTATCAAATTTAAAACATATAATTAATACATGGGTGAAAATTGCTTGTGTCCATAATGGGCAGCATTAATATACCCACATGACAGCTAAGGTCAGAAGACTTTTATTTAACAGCTGGTCTTATGTCTGTGACCCCTCCTGTTGTTAATTGATACGCCTGAAACATGCACTTGTCAAGGTTCAGATGCACATTTAGCAAATATGGCAGGAGCCATCGATCATCTTAAGATAAGATACTTTATTGATCCCAAGTTGGGAAATGTTTTTGTTACAGCAGCATGTACTACTTTGTTCTACTCCACTACAATTCAGAGGTTAACCTGTTATTTTTACTCTACTACATTTATTTTTGTTACTTTGCAGATTCTGATTAATGATGTGAAATATAAACAACCCTTAAATCAGACTTTCGTTACACCTGAGTAAAATTCAGCCTTATCAGTTTGTCTGTTTTGCACATCCTCCTGTTAATATCTTTGGACGTCCGGCACTAAACTGTTTTATTGTAGAAATCACTACAGTATCTTCTTGATATTTTCTATTCTATATTTCTATCATTGACCCCTATTTTGTATGTAGGCTACTCTTATATTTAAATGTTTTGATCAAATATAACTTATTCAACAACTAAATTCAATAACGTGCTTTAACCACTAGGCGGTGCGGTTTAAAAAACCAGTGGTCTAGTTAATAAAACATAATAATATCAAACATAATATGACTATTCACTTTATTGTGAAATTAAAACAGAACGGTAAAGGAAAATACAGTTTCAGTCTCTCAATGTGAAGCTTATGCATTGTACCATGAACCTGTATAGACCTGTAACAGTCAACTGCATGAGGAGTTGGAAAGATAGTTCAGAAAATCAGTAATATCTTCTACAAACAAGTCCCTTTCTATCAGCTGTGCACCGTTATGGTGTAAATACAGACTATCTACTAATTGAATCAAATATAAAAGTCAGCCGAATTAGTGTTGATACTGCAAGAAGACGTATTGTGTGAAAATAAATGGAAGATGTTGTTTAATTGTTGATATATTTATGGTCCACGTCATGTATTCAGTTTTGGCGGCATCTCTTCCAGTTTGTCAAAAGGTCTTCTGATCAGGGCTCTATAAATACATATCTACGGCAGATATGTAATATTTAATGCAGCCAAACCGTGTATTACAATGCCGTTATGTGATAACTTTCAAAGAGAAAAGCAAGAACACTCGGAATAAAGTGTTATTTTATATTTAAATGTTTTCCGATTTCATATCACATAAACACCATATCCCAACGTGCATTGCGGCGTGATTTTAGCCTATCAAAACCTCTGAAAAAAGAAATGTGTCTCTCAGAATCGAAAGAGAAAAACCTATGGGAAAAACACAAAAGCATTGTACACAATTTAAACCAATTAATGTCGTATAATTAACTAGGATAAACTGATGTTTTTTAGTGGATGAGTACTGCAGATATCACTGTTAAATCATTTGATCATTGGTTTTATTATGAAAACGTCGAGACCGGAAATACTGTTTTCAACCCGTAACTTTACATGGAGGCTGCCGCATATTCACGTTCTCCTGACGAAACCTCAAATCATCTTCGTAATATCTATCAAACTATAGATCCTACATATCGACTGGAAGTGGATTCTAAAAATACAATATATACTTCTCGCTAGAAATCTAATCAAAAAGCGTTTTAATGGCCAAACTATCCTACAATTTAGGATTTTACAGAGAGGGTTATTTGTGAATAAACGACCATCTGTAACGTTTGCATTCAACGGGAGCACTAGAGGCCGACAACTTTAAAACGTAATTATAGGTCGTATTAAGCGCTTGAACAAACGACATATTTGGTCGTAATAAGGGCTTAAACAATTGACCCATTTGGTCGTATGAGTTGGAGGACTTGTTGGCTTTTCTCCTGCTTAATAAAGCCAACTTTGCACCTTCGATGCATCGCCTCCGACTCCCTTCTCTCGGCACTACAATATCCTTTGTTATGTTGGTCTAGTTTATGCAAACTTATGATGTGTATATTATGTATACTGTATGTCTCTTTCGCCTTTTAATATGACTAAATCAACTGATTATGATTAGTTTATGTTTTTCTGTGCAATGCAAATTAGGATCAATAATCTGATCTAATAATCTTAATGCACTTTTACATTCCACCACTATAGGATACTGTATATTCAAAATATAGCCTACTGGAGGGACTGCCTTTTTATGTAGCCTTGAATGTCACGTATTTGTATATTATTACACACCATGATATATGGATATAATAAAACAGTGGGGCTCGTGTGTGTCCCGTAGCAGGATGCCTGTGTGAGGGTGCAGTATCCTGTACTAACAGAGGGATACGCCCCTGTGGACTGTAGAGGTCCTCCTCGCTGCTGCAGGCACACCTTTGCTGCACCTCCTCTTATCCTCCACGCAGCGTGCCACGGGACAGGACGCACATAGAGGCTCGTGTCCGTTAGGGAGACCCGCGAGCTGTGATCGGAAGGAGAGGAGTTGCTGATCGGTGCACCGGAGCAGGATGCTGCTGTTCTTGGATCAGTGAGAGAGTGACGCTGCGCTGCGTGCCGGAGACATGCGGATCTGTCCACTCCTCCACCAGCTCTCACTGTAGTTATTGTAAAGTCCTGCCTGTCCTCACACACACACACACACACACACTCACACACAGATCCTCTGCTCGCCTCTCCTGCTGGGATATGTCCTCGCTGGATGCCGGGATGCCTGGGACTCTCCTCACACTGTTCTTGGGTAAGTTCAATTCACAGTCCCGCTGCAGTTGTGAAGAAATAATGTGTGTGTGTGTGTGTGTGTGTGTGTGTGTGTGTGTGTGTGTGTGTGTGTGTGTGTGTGTGTGTGTGTGTGTGTGTGTGTACTCTCAGATGTGTTTTCAGAGACCGTTTTTGCTGTGTGCTGTTTTATTGTTGGCTAAGTAACCTTATGAAAATAACTATAATCCGTGTTGGAGCTTATTTAATGCAGTTTCAAAAAGTTATGTACATTTAATATACGACATGCAGTACTGGCATGGATCCATATGTGTTGTTAATGCCACCTAATACAGTAAGGTTATTGTTCACACACTTTGGAGGAAGAGGGGTCCAAATGGCAATGTTGAAGAATTTTGAAAATGAACATAACCTCACCATGAACTACTATAGGTCACTAACCTGAGTAGGATTCCCATGTGTGTGTTATCATAGGAATATTATAGTGATTGTACTTTTGAGTTGTGAGTAGCAGGAGCTTTCTTATTGAGTACCACAGTCCCCACACACATCGATATAGAAATATTATTGTTGTATTATAGTGTGTTTTATAAATCCAAATTAAGTGTTATTATTAAGAGGAATAAGCATCACCTACTGTAACATCGTACTGTGGTTCTGGCACTTTAGGTTGTGGAACGTAACTCCACAATGGGGTTTGAATTTATAATTGTATTATTACAACAAGCAATGGCAGTTCCCTTGTTAACTGGAGTTCGTGCTGACTTTCATTGTGATTATGCCTTCTGAATGAATGACACATTCTGTTCGAGAACGTTCTTTTATTTCTTTACTTCTTCAAGTCAACCCCCTTCCCCATTCTAGAGATGTTTTTTTGTCTAGAAGATTTCAGTTTTCACTCAAAACTAGGGTGAAGGTGAATTATTTACAATGTGCTGGTTGTACAGTAATCTTTCTTGCGTTAGTTGTATTTTCCTCACCAAATGATACAAATACATTGCATAAAGTGTTATATGTCAGTATAAATACACAGTAGGCTACATACTTTTGTTTGGTGTGAAGGAAAAATGTATCTCTTTTTGTTTTACCATACTTTGTTGACAAAGCATATCATGTGTAGTATCATCGTGAAATGCACGTTGTTGCGTCCCAGTGTGTGTGTTTGTACACACGTGTGAGCACACAGCCCGCGCCCGGCCGTAACAACAGCGCAGGGCCGTGACATCACAATTAGTGCAGTTGTCCATGGGGTGATGGGAGCTTTCATTAGTTGCATTATGGGAGCGTGGTTGGACAGGCCATGGCGGAGCAGCAGATTCTTCCTCATGGCACTGCCTCTTCACTCTGGGAAACTTGTCCTCGTTTTCGCCACAAATTAAATGCAGCTGAATAAATCTGATGGAGCCTCAATTAGTTTTTAGTTTTTAACGAACACAGTGTTTTCTCTGGGAGAGTGTAGCCACTAAGCTCTACATAATCATTAACATATTTGAGGGTGGTCTGCGTTTCTGTGCTGACTCTGACTTTGACCTCATCGAAGTACAGCTCACACCCCAGCTATGAAGATTTCAGAGGCATGCTATTATCATCCCACTGCCTATTCCTGTGACCTTGAGAATGAAGGTAGTAATACAGCGTCCCTGCTAGTATGGCACAATTAAAAGCTTTTTTTTACAGGATCATTTTTATCCGTCATTCATGCTGGAAACTAGCCTGATGAAAAGGAATTGTTTTCTTAATTGTCAGAGACTGAATGAATGACTGATGTGCCAGAGGGATGATGAGGCATTTGTGCCGGACATGTTCTCTCCATCTCCTCCCTTGGATTAGTCTCTTTCACACTGTATTTTTAGCACACTTTTAAAGTGACCTTTCGGATACTAATTTTTTGTGGCTGCTGTCCCGCGCAGCACAGAGAAATATCACAGATATCCTCCTAGAGCAGCTGGAGCCAGAACCTCCGTGTCACCTGACATGCTCTGTAGTGAGTCACAAACAGTGCTGAGCCCTATCTGTCCCCTGTCTCTAAATATAGAGGAGATCACCGGCGGCAGGCCGAAGGATCTGTCAAGTGTAGAGAAGTCTCCAGAGCCAGAGGTTAGGATGTGACATCTTGCCAGGCTCTGGCCTCAAATCTCTGGCAGCCGCCCACCCATGTCTCCCCTTCCTCCATCTCTCTCCTCTGTCCGCCTCCCCTGTGTGTCTTAGGTGACTTTGACAGTCCAGAGACTCAAATAGGTAGATGGTCAGATTTGTTGTTGTTCTTTGCGACCAGAGTGTCCATGGACTTCACTCCTCCTCTCTATCTCTCTCTCTGTGATGCACATGCCATCTCTTCTTTGTCTCAGTCCACATTCACCTTGGCTCTGCTCTCTGTGTGTTTGCCAGCCTCTCGCTCTGTGCCAGTCACTTCAGACACTCTAGGTTAGTCAGAGCTGTCGTACGCAACTTACACTCACAAGGCAAAATTAAAGCATACAAGCTGAAGGGTTGTTGCACCCAAATACAACTTTGTCTAACCATGCAGGTTTTTGTTTTATTTGAGATATCACTCTCTGAGATACTATAGGGCAGGGTAAGTTTGGCCAAATGCCTTTATCATGACAACTTCTGGTCTGACCTGGGAGGACAGGGAAGCACTTTCACTTTGGTGAACAGCATGTGAGAACTAGTGAGAAAAGGATATGTTAGAATCAGAAGATCTTTATTGTTGTTATACTCCTGTAACACAACATTTTGCAGGCTTCCATCTATGCAATTTCAAATAGAAACAAATACATCGAAACAGTAATACAAACAGTAATAGCAGCAAAGAGAATACAAAAATAGAAGGCACTAGTTCAATGTACACATTAACAAAGTTTCAAAATGTACGGATTTTCTTCAATTCAAGTTGTGGTTTACGCTGTACCAACATTACCCACATGTACAATGATACATCGAGTTAGGTGCGAAACCATGCCTACATGTTTTTTTTACTCTTTCTTCGATGGAATGCAGACAGCTAAATTAGCAAAATAAGTGTCAATGGCCAGTAGATATTTGTGCAGTCACCCAACCCTAGAGGGCTCTAGACAGGACCAAGTTTATTTACTAAAGCATTAGCTTAGCGTAGCGCACATAAGGTTTCAATATAAAGCCTGTGTTGGTTTCAGTTATTCAGTTATTAGATTGTTTTTATTTTCAAGTGTTTTTTCAACTGTTCATCTTTAACCAGAATGACTGCAGAGCTGTTACTAATAACAGGAAGCCGCTGTGACTTTTAATTTTGGTATTAAGACATTTTCTGTGGATTTACTACAACGAGTGATACTTCATGAGCTGTAACAAAATTACCAGTAAAGATCCCTCTGAAAAGCAGATGCGCATGACATGATCCTGTGGAAGTCACTGGAGCTTCGTGTGTGTGTGTGTGTGTGTGTGTGTGTGTGTGTGTGTGTGTGTGTGTGTGTGTGTGTGTGTGTGTGTGTGTGGTGTGTGTGTGTGTGTGTGTGTGTGTGTGTGCGTGTGTGTGTGTGTGGCCTAGCATTACTATAGTTGTGGGGACCTAAATCTGTTTACACAGTCACGTGTGGGGACTCGCCTCCCTTATGGGGGTCCCCATGAGGGGAATCATTCATTTTAGGGTCAAGACTTGGTAAGGGTTAGGGAAGTGGTGAACCCTCAGGGCCTTCAAGGTATTCAGAGAATACCCTGGAACACTCAGATAAAACAAACTAAAAATCGATTTAATTATATAAATAAAATGTACATAAAATGAATAAATGAGAATGGTATCTCTGTTGTTGATCTGTAATATTACAGTGTTACGTTGATTTGTTTGTCCTTCTCGGACCATGCACTACGCATTTCAGTGGTGTTGTGTTAGAAAAGAAAGCAACCAATCAGATCTTGTTCTGGGTACTGAGTACCTTCAACCAAGGCCGTTGCACTGAATGAGAGCGTATGTTTGGACTGACAGTTTGATCAACCAATCATATATTGATTTGTAGCCAATGGGCGTATTCTTTCAGAGTTTCCCTCGGTTCCAGGTACTCTAGAAGGCCCGCTAGTTAACTGGCTCGAGACAGAGGATAGATGAATGCGACGAAGCAATTCATGCCGTTTTATTGTTTTTAACGTTGAAATGACAAGTGCAACAGGTGAAGATGAAGTTGTTGCGGAATTGTTGTGAGTACGCTTTTCAAGACAACAATTCAGTGAAAAGACGGACATTATAATGCCACGGAGAGGGGGGGGGGCGGCGGCGGGGGGTGTGTGTGTGTGTCTACAGAAGGTCCAGTTGTGATAGACACGGTTCGCCACTGGGTTAGGGTTATGGTTAGGGTAAGGTTAAGGTTAAGGGTTAGGGTTAGGGTTAGGCATGTGTTGGTTATGGTTAAGGTTAGGATAAGTCTCCAGGAAATGCATGTAAGTCAATGTAATGTCCCCTGAAGTGATGTATACATGGTATGTGTGCGCAGGCATGTGTGAAGGGTGAGTTTTAATTAGCTGAGCGCAGCAGCAGGGGGGAACTTCCCCTTACTGCGCGCCTAATTTCAACCAGCTGACAAAAATCACAGTGACAACGTCGTCTCTCTCCCCTCTCACCCCCTTCACATCTCATCCCTTCTCTCCCTCCCTGGCTGCCTTCACTCCGTCCATCAAAACAAACCAAAACATCTCTCTTTATCACTCAAAGCGTGGCACGAGACGATGGGGCGCAGCAATGCAACAAATGAGCCGGTGGCTATTTCTAAAATCAGCTTTCAACTTCAGGCGTTGTATTTATTGCAACAGGATTAAATATTTCTAAGATTTCTGAATGAATTGTCTTCCAAAAAGTCATTCTGTTGCTGACTTCACACCTTGAAATGCTTTTGAGCATTTAAAAGCCTCCCTGGATGGAGGACAGGAAGCATCACCTGAGAGGAGCTTTTGTTTGACTCCTCCTGTAATGGAGACCATATGTTCTCCGTGTTTTCACTGTGAGAATGAGGTTAATACTTATTTACAAATGATTTGTCTTGCGATATTAATTCC